CATCCATCCATCCATCCATCCATCCATCCATCCATCCATCCATCCATCCATCCATCCATCCATCCATCCATCCATCCATCCATCCATTCATCCATCCATCCATCCATCATCATCTGCTTGTCCTGAAGTCAGAGTCCGGTCACAGGGGCAGCAGCTTGAGCAGGGATGTCCAGACATCTCCCTCTTTGGGAGGATTCCACTGAGACAGACATTCACTGTAAGTCTGTAGTGAATGTCTGGTTTTACGAGTCCACATGGAAAAAGAGTAAAAGTATGACTAGATCACTGTGAATCAATTTCTGCAAGAAGCCTTATTGAGGTCTGCCAGCTTTACCAGGATTCCCTATTCTGTGTCTGGTTTTGTTTGTATTGGATTAAACTAGAGTTACAGCCAACAGGGAAATGGTGTGTATGCAGAGGATGGGGGCCCCCTGAGTCTGGGCACGCTCTCGTGCACTGAAACAGCAGAGCTGACCACTTCCATCAGCCAGTGAAACCACAGACAGGTGCAGTGTGACTGATGCCTTTCATGAATCAGCCTGAATATAGTGAGTCAGAACACCGAGTATAGAAAGGAGGAATTTACTGCACAACCAGATCCATGATGCAATTAAATATTTAGCCATCTAAAAAAAGAGGAAAACCCAAGAATCTTAGTTTTTTCCTCTGGTTATTTGGCGTTTGTGTCTGAGGCTGGATGGGCTTATTGAAGAGTAGGAATCCCGAGCCCGCTGGACTTTTTAGAACAGTGAATGCATCGTTCTCTCTTAGTGTACTCAAATTTTAAATATCTGTGTTAATGTGAAACAGTATTGGGACCAACATAACAAACTAAAATATATGTTAAAACTTAAAAACTGTGGGATCATGCTCATGTGAAGGTCAGTGAACGTACCCTGATGTGGAAGGAGAAGGGGTAATGGGGGGTTAAAACATCAGATTTGAGTTTGGAATATCTACATTTGACTTTTGTAATGGGCTTCTTTGTTTTTTCTTTGATCATTTCAAATTATTTTCTGAGGATAAGGAAAAATACTCCTGCAGGGTCCCCACAGATGGTGAATCCCAGTGTTACATCTAACCTTCAAATGTCTTAGGGTGTTACATTGAAACACTACTGGTTAAAATGTGAAACAAGACTTCTTCAGGAAACCTAGATCAGCTGTTACAGATTTGTTTTAAGCAAACAGTTGCAACATCTTTTTGCCGGAGTGTAATTTAGTTGTTTAATGTTCATTAGTGCTTAAATATAAAGCGAACAGCACTTTCCAACACAGTTCAGTCAGATCATCTGGACGGTTTATTTTATTGTTGAGACATTTTGTCCTTCATCCAAATGACTTCATCAGTCCGAGGAGCCACAAACAAACTCAGTCTCACAAGCAGCACAATCACATAGTGGACCAACCAGTTTGCTGGTGATAAGATGGTTTCTGGGGCCTGCCCTCTCCCCCGTTGACTCTTCTGAGGCAGCCATAGCCAAAGTGGTTCAAAACATCAAAGTTCATGCTCAGTAATCCTGGTAAAACATCCAACAAAGTTCAGTCATGCCCTCTGGATGGTTTCTTTTTTTGTTTTGAGGCCATAGTTGCCTCAGAGGAGTCGACGGGGGAGAGGGCGAGCCCCAGAAACCATCTTATCACCATCAAACTGGTTGGTCAACTATGGGATTGTGCTGTTTGTGGGACTGAGTTTGTTTGTGGCTCCTCGGACTGATGAAGTCCTTTGGATGAAGGACGAAACGTCTCAACAAATACAGAAACCGTCCAGATGACCTGACTGAACTCTGTTGGATTTTTTTTTTACCAGGATTATTGAGCATGAACTTTGTCGAACTGGACTTTCTTTCAGGTTTCCTGAAGATCTTTTGTTCCTTAGTTTGTGAGACACTTGCGTTTTAGTCTATATACACGTTGCGTGTGTGTGTTTGCACCATTTAAAGTCTTTTATAAAGCAACAGTAAATCAAAATGAGAGAGACAGACTGTGAGGGGGTGTTGGTTCATGGTTTGAAGGCGGGGATGATGGGTGAGAGTGCTACCCATATAATTGCCTGCTCCGCTTGGCAGTGTCTGCTCTGCGGTTCAGCAGTAGCATGTAGGTTCACACACAGCAGACATGCAAATATGCACATACATATCTGCTCCCTCTGACTGCTCTCTGTCAGAAGGGAGCGGTTTGAAAACCGGCATTGCCAAACGACAGGAGTGCATGCTGGGTAACATGGCACAAGTGATGTCAGCCTGAAAGTCTTCAGGTTTTATGAGATGGGATAAGTTTGTGGGAGAGGAAAGGCACGTTCTTTTGGTTTTCAGATACGCTTTAGTTGTCATTCTGAGAGCTAAAAATACGGAGTGTGATTTTCTCTGACAGGATGGGAACTGATTTAAGACCCTGCTGCTTATTAAGCCATTTCAAAAGAAGGTTTGTGGACCACAGCAAAGAGGCTGTGATCACAGCTCAGTGAAATATTTTCAGCAGAAGAAGACTCTTATTTCACTGGATTTCCAGCTTGATGCTTGGATTTTTAATGCAGCTTCGACAACACGACACCAGAAGCCGCCGTGGAAAGAAAGGCTGACTCTTAGGAAGGCGAAGATAACCTGTTATTATAGGAAACTGCACCACACGCAGAGCGGCTAGACTGGACGAATGGGCTCCACTGGGAAAAAGAAGGTTTCCGTACTGTCTCCACAACAGTCCCTGGTTGATCCAATCAAACGTCCCTGGAAAAACGACACATCTCAAAGGGGTCGTAATGATGCCCTTTCTATAAAAAGTTGGTTTTAGCACGACTTCCACAGAGTCATTAAGCGCTGGCTTCACAAAAGCTGGGAACGGGAGCAACAAAGAGCAGGAGGTGGGAAGTAAATTGGAGAAACTGATGGAAGTTGGTGTCGGCATCAAAGAGACTGGACGTGATGAAACAATGGAACTTGGAAATGAATTTGCCTTTTGTCCATGCAGCAAAGCGGTGGGAGCACTTAAACATCTGTAAAAATGAGCCGAGCGAACTTAATGGGATGGAGACAAAGGCTGTGACTAAAGAAGAAAAGAAAAACACTAGGACGAAGAGGGAAGTGCTGATTTAGCTAAAAGCTTGCAGCAGACTGAACTGGGAAGATCTCAGGGATTTCTTACACTATAATCACGGCTATTTTAAAGGACAGAAACTCCAAGAAAACCTGATTCAAGGTTTTAGAGCATTTAAGAACATTATCAGGTATACTCATTACTTGGATTGGTTCAACTTTTATTTTACTGAACTAAATATTTGTATATGAAAGTATGCTTTTATTGAACGGAGCAAATTTTATGTTAAAAACAAGTGAAGTTTTGCAACGCCACAGTTAATTTCTTCTCAAAGAGCCCGCCTTTGCTCCGTGACTGTGACTCATGTAAAAGAATTAAAACAGGGAACAGCCAACTGCTTCCCCACCTTTCCAACTAAATCTGGTAAATTGCTGCTCGGCTAACTGTAGCCAGAACTATAAACTATAATCATAACCAAAACTGTTTGCTGGTTTCCTGTCTTAAGATGATGGATGCATTTAAAAATGAAACAACGGTGAAATTTGCTTCAAACTGTGCAAACAAAACCATAACCCGGTCAGTTTTGATGAATCAATGCCCAAACATCTACATAAGTAACAGTCCACTCATGATGGTAAAATGCTACTGAAATCACTTAGTTTGACATTCTTAGTTGAACAAATTAGAATGCACATTATCTTGGTATGGCAAAGAGAAACAGAAATATTAGGGATAAATTGATAAACTAAGTGCAAAAACTACCGTTTGATGTTGGTGTACTCAATGTAGACTCATATGTCAAACTCAAGAGCCGCTGGCCAAATCTGGTGCCCCAAGATGATAATTTAAATGTAAAATATTGTCTTCTCATTTTTTCTTAAAAAAACAAACAAACATAGTTTATTATAGACTTCTCTTGCCAGCTGGCTAACTTAGACGTCAGAGAGACGGCTGGATCATTCTGTCATTATTGAGTCTGATGTGGAAAGAGTAACGTCAAGTGAGACAGATCAAACTCTTGTTCATGAACCTGCAACCATGAAAATATATCTGGTATCTGACTCGAGTTACTGTATCAGCTGAAAGTGGGCCATGCCTCGGACAAAGTTTTAAAATTTTGGCTCCTTCCGGTAACTGAGTTACCACTGAGTGTCGACACCCCTAGCTAAACAGTATAAAATACAAAATAAATGGCTGTAAGCTCAATCATCCTGGTACATAGCAACAAAAAAGGTTAAATCGTATCATCTGGATCAGTTTCAAGTGAGAAAAGTTTTGTCCCCCATCCAGAGGACTTCCTCAGTCTACGACCTGCCAACCAGCT